CAAGCTGCTGGGTTTGGGGCTTGAACCCTCGACAGTTACGTAGAATCCAGCCGCCTTAACCTCCACGCCATTTGCTAGGACCCTGGATGTCTTTTTAAAACACTGTCCTGGGATCAGCAGGTGGCGTGGTGATTAAGGTGCTGGACACTCCCACATGGCCAACCACAGTTCGAGTCCCGGACCTGGTGGCTTCCTTTCTCACTGTCCCTCTCTCTCTTTCCTCCTCTGTGTCTCTCTCTGGCCAAATTAAAATAAGTGAGTGAATAAATAAAAAAAAATTAAATAAATAATGATAAAAACAAACAAAACAAACACACACAAAACACTGTCTTTGCTGATAGAGTTATCACTTTATTTATTTATTTTTGGAGAGTATTTCGCTATAGGGCGCGTGCGCTTGCCAGAAAGAGAAAGAGACAGAGAGATAGAAAGCGAGAAATCACCCCCCAGGAGGGATGGCCACGCCACAATCCCTTCTCCTCCATTCTGCTCTTGGGATCTTGGGCACGCACGCACACGTGCCCAGCATGAATTTAAGCCACCAGATCCGGGACTTGAACTATGGTCGACTACATGGGAGTCCAGCAACATAGTCATTAGGCCAACTGGTCTCTGGATATCACTTTAAACTGATATTCTCTACTAAAATATCTGGTCAGCAGATGGCAAAGTGGTTAAGGCAACTAGATCCTACTTAGTCTGCATGGTTCAAGTCCCGAACCTAGCAGCCTGAAAATTATGCTAGGTGAATGTGTGTGCATGTCCAAAATCCCTAGAGGAGAATGGAGAAGGGACTGCAGCATGGCCATCCACCCTGGGGGTTGATGTCTCTCTTTTCTCTCTCTGGTGAGCTTACACACTCTATAGCAAAAAACTAAAAAAACAACCTTAGTGCCACTTGTATGCTTTGTCATGTTCGTATTCATATTAGCAGTTTTACAGGTGACATTTCATATAAGTCCCCATTATCCTGTCACTAAAAAAGAGCCCTAGAGTCAGCTAGTGGTATGGCAGTTAAAGTGACTGGGTACCATCTGGCCAGTCATGTGGTTCAAGTCCACGACCCGGCAGTTTGGGAAACACGCTGGGCACATATGCGTGAGTGCCCCAAATCCAGAGAGCGAAGGAAGGAGGGATTGCGGTGTAGCCATCCCCTTCGGCGAGAGACTTACTTTCTCTGTCTCTCACTTCTCAGTGCACACATCTCATCGTAAAAGCTGAAAAAACAAGAGCTCTATAACTTTTATGCTCCATCCTTGCGGGACTGCAGTGCCTGTGGTAAAACGAGGTGCCAGGTGATGAAGCGACTTCGACATACTGCCTGCTCTAACACTCGGCGACGGGACCTCCCGCTAACAGGAGGAACGGGGCGACACAGCGCCGCTGGCTCAGCAGTGTCTGAAGCACGACTTCACCCCAAGGCATGGGTGCTCTCACGGGGCCATGCCTTTCCTGTCCTCTGTGAGTCAGCATGAAAAACACCTCCCGAAAGGCGAAGTAGGTCAGATTTATCTAAAAAGACAGCGGTGTAACCCCGCATCCCTCTGCAACCCCACGGACTGCAGACACACGCTTCTGGCTTTGCGAACTGCAGCCAGAGGGCACTTCCCATGCCGAAAGCTCACACAGCTCAACTCGGGAGACAGCTGGCCTTCCAAAGCATGAGGACAAATTAGGGCCGTCTTCACGGGGGTGCCCTGCAGGGCCACTCTTCAAGCCACCTCCATGACTCGGCGATACCAGCCACTGCGGGAAAACTTCCTGAGTAAGAAAGTTTAAAATGCAGAAAAAGTTTTGCATGACACTTTCTTAAACTTGTCCAAGTTTGCTTGTGTTCCCGTCTAAGGATTGGGTGGTTGGAGAAGTCATGATGTAGTTTTTCTTTACTTTTTTAAAAAAGAGTTATTTCATTTTATTTAGTGGTATTATTATTGGGTTTTCAATTTGCTACAGGGCATGTGTACTCACCAGAGAGAAAGAGAAAAGTGAGAAAGTAAGCTGCCAGGTCCAGGACTCGAACCATGGACAGCCATATGAGAATCCAGTGCCCCAACTACCATGCCAACTGCTGGCCCCTATATCTTTTCTATGTAAAAATGCACCATGACTTTTCTGACAACCCAATACCACACTCACAGAGGGCTTTGAGTTCATGCAGTAACTAAATAGGCCCACAAGAGACAGGACTTTGAAGGGGCAGTTACTGCCTAAGTGAGTCGAGTAGGTATTCTCATTAGGGCTCTTTTATTTATTTATTTAAAAAGTTACTTCATTCAACTTTATTTATTTTTAATTTGACCAGAGAGGAACAGGGTAAGAGGCAGGGTAAGCAAGAGAGCAAAGCACCAGGTCCGAGACTTGAACCACGGTTGGCCGTCCACTGCCCTTAACCACCAAGCCAACTGCCAGCCTCATGACTGCCCCTTTAACATGGTAGAAGGGCCCCTTCAGAGTCCAAGGGGCACATGCAAAAAATAAATAAAAAGATAAACAAATAAAAAAAAATTGTGGGGAACCAGCAGTTAGCATAATGGCTATGTCGCTGGACTCCCACATAGTCGGACCGCAGTTCGTGTCCCGGACCCGGTGGCTTAAAACTCACGCCAGGTGCGTGTACGTGTGTGCCCAAGATCCCGAGAGGAGAATGGAGGAGAAGGGATTGCGGCGTGACCATCTCCCCTGGGGGGTGATTTCTTGCTTTCTGTCTCTCTGTCTGTCTCTGTCTGTCTGGCGAGCACACGCGCCCTATAGCGAAAACCTCTCCAAAAAAAAAAAAAGGTAAAAAAAAAATTGTGGTTCGAGTCCTGAACAGGGTGGCTCACTTTCTCTGTCGCTCTCTCGTCAAATTAAAAAAAGAAAACAACATTAAAAAAAGGAAAAAGAAAAGTAATGGGACCAAGGACCACTGCTCTGGAAAGGAAGATGTTGGCAAGGAATGGAGAAAGCAGCCAGGAACAGATGCAGCTGAGGTGTTCTGTTGAGTAAGGCAAAGTGACTTTTTTTTTTCCCACATCTGCAACTTACATTTATGCTAATCTACATTTATGCTAATCTTCTTAAAGGCGCAACTTACTTTTATGCTCATCTTAAAGGGGAAGTCTGGCATGCAATGAGGCTATTAAACCCTGAGATACCGACAGGGCGTGAGGCTGGGTTCATAGCGCTGTGTCATGTCTTTGGGGGAGGGAGGATCCATCATTCTTTCGGTCCCTCTCCGTCACCCCTCCTGCCCCGAGACCACCGCATTTCTACAGTCTAGACTGCAAGGCACCAGCTGCAATTAATCGGAGTATCAGAGAATGCAGACAGGTGCGCCGTCACTTCCCCTCTCCTCACTATCAGTACTTGCTCAGACACCCTGAAATTCATGCACGCCGCCAACAGAGAGCCAACCCCCGAAAATTGAGACTGCCAACACTTCGGCTTACCAAGCAAGGCCTGCTTTGTGGCACTGCTGGTTGGCAAAGGCATGATATTAACTTAAAAGAGCTCAGACCTTAGATTTTTTGGGTTTATAGGCAACAAAAACCAAACCCCCAAATCAATAGGGGGAGACTATTTCCAAGTAGCACTTAGCTGTCCTAGCAACAGAAGCAGCAAACTGACCACGTCCGCGGTCCCCTCCCACGGTTCGCAAGAGACTGGCTGAGTCTTGCGGTTGGCAAAGGCATGATATTAACTTAAAAGAGCTCAGACCTTAGATTTTTTGGGTTTATAGGCAACAAAAACCAAACCCCCAAATCAATAGGGGGAGACTATTTCCAAGTAGCACTTAGCTGTCCTAGCAACAGAAGCAGCAAACTGACCACGTCCGCGGTCCCCTCCCACGGTTCGCAAGAGACTGGCTGAGTCTTGCGGTCTTCGGAGC